GCGTTAATGATCTGCAATTAAGACACATCCCCAGGAAACAAAACCTTTACGCCTATTCGGAATGTTCAAATATCCGATGAAAGTAACAAACATTGAGAAAAATCAGATCGGCAAAAGAAACGCTATCATCATTACGCAATACTCCAAAAAGAAATGAAAAGCTTTACAAAGAATTACATCGAATAGAATTCAAAAAGCAATACATTAAATAATTGAAGACAACATCAAACAGATTCTGACCTGAATGCAAGCGCTGCGAGCAGCCACACCACCAGCTATCAACCGAGCAATGTAGATTTTTCCGCGATCATTTTTGATAGTTACACCCACGGTCTCGTCTCTTTTCACAATTCGTACCTGAACTTACATTTAGGCTTGGAATAATAATGAAGGAATTTTGAGCAGTATATAAACAATTGAGCCGAATCTTTTCGAAACCCACAACTTTAACGACGATTCCTTCATCCTCATCTACTTCGAACGGGATTGCTGGCAATTTCGGAAGGTATTTATTGCTGGCAACATCCTCTGCGCTTATCAGTAGACCCTAAACAGAACCATCCACCTGGTTCGGACTCCATGAGTCAGTTCGAGTGATAAGTCTTACCCGAACATGAGGACGATTCAGCAGAGCGATAAGCTGTTGTACGGCCGCTGACTTGATGCCCGTTGACTCCCAATTATTGATGAACGCATCGCATAAAGAGGTCGTCTCAGCAGCCCTTAAACTGGAAGATGTAATGATATTTGCATTATATCCGTGAATGCCTATACTGAAAAGGTCGAGGATGCGCCATGCACTCAACGCTCGTGAGAAGTTATCAATGAGGAAAATAAGCCTAGCGAGCCTACCAAGTTATCAACCTTGAAGTTCACTTATGGCTAGACGAAACTCGTGAAAAAGCGACGTAGGCTAAACGATCCCCTGAACAGAAAGCTCAGATCTTTCTGATATTGAACGATTCGTGCATCGTTTCAAAAAGTTCGGTACCATTGATACCCTTATTCCGTGAGAAATGAGAACCAGTTTTGAAGTCGTAGGACGGACAAAAACTGTTTTATGGCAATTTATTATTGCGCCAACTGTGCAGCGCAAAGAATCAAACTAATGGGATGCCATAAGGAAGGCGCTTTCTTTTTGATCGCTTCAAACTAGTTCACAGTGCTCAAAAGAATGATATGATGGCACTTGAACAATCATGGATTTAGATATAAGAAGTAAAAGTGACAAGAAGCGAACCAAATGCGGAAAATTACTTGAGGTAAGTTCACCTACAGTTGAAAGGCACAGTCTGTGACTAGAAAACCTACATGTGCACGCCACGAACTCGACCACCATTGAAAAACACAGAGGTCCTAGATCGCGTTTGCACTTACACAGAGCCTACAGAAGATAGAGCTTTAACCTTTACTTCTGGGGCCGGGTGCATCAAGCCCCAAGAGGGAATGGGGACACATCCCCTCTCCTCGGGGTTGGGGATTTATCCCCAAGGTTGGGGATATATTCCCGGTTCCGGTTCCGTCACAGGACCCATTTTTTGATCGAAATCATCATCCGCGACCATGCGAAAGGTCACTGCCGTCGATTCTCCGCGTAGGTGTCTGAGGGGACGAGTCCCCCAGTCCTCGACTAGGGGGATATATCCCCTGCCGGCAGAGACGCACCTTGGGGACATGTCCCAAACCTTGGGGATGAATCCCCTCACCCAACGAGGGGATATATCCCAAACCTCGAGGACATATCCCCAACCTCGGAGAAAGGGGATGGGTCCCCATCCCTCTTGGGGCTTGATGCCCCGCCCCTGGAACAGAACACCAATGTATCATAAAGCGGGCAAGAAGGGGACCAGAATGAGCCAGGGTCAGGGTCAGCAATTAGATTGGAAAGGATGTAGCATTCCTTCCTGAAGAGTATCGCTATAGGTTTTTTCCTCATTCCTCTCATAGAAATGCCTACACTCTCACTTTTGATCTCCAAGAAGTCCTCAGAATGCGCGAAGAAGGGATCTCCTATGATTTCTTGAAACATTCATTTCCCACCGTCCTCCAAATGTTCTAAAAACACAACGTCCATTCACCAAACACCCGACAGAGTACGACGCCGTCGCTAAAAAAAAAAACGCGACAGGAGTTAGACTCTGCAGAACATGGGGAAAAAGTTTTTGACAAAGTCGAATGCAAACGTGATCTTAACCTCAGCGCAACAGGTAAATAAGAATGGGCAAAAAATATTAGGACTAAATTCAAGAACCCATGGAAGAATAGAAAAACTTACAATCTATCCAATTTCAATTCACCAGACGTTGCAAGTTCATGTAGTCCGCGAGCGATACTCTTTTGGCTTTCCGTTAACGTCTTGGCAGCCGTCTGCTTCCTACCGTATTCCTCGAACAATGAGTGTAGGATTTCGTTGAACTTTTCAACAAAGTCGTTTGAATCCTTCTTCGAATCCTTGCCCGCCCCATGACTCATTCTTGGAAAGAGATTTCATTCAAACGTCTTCATCTGGAACTGATTTCTATAGAAAAGCAATAGTGGTGGATAAAGAAGAAGACGAACGCTCAAAGATCGTCCAAGAAGGTAAGAAGAAAGCGAAGAAGCAAATTGGTAACAGAAGCAGAGAAACAAAGAAAATTGTGAAGAATAAAGAGACCCTGAAACTACTATGACATTTTTACGACAAAAAGATGAAAACCGGCAAGGATTGAGGCTCTTCAGATTTGGACCTACTCTTTTTTCTTTTCGATTTACTTTAATTATGATGGTACAGAGCAGAATTCAGTAACAGTATGTGGGAACTACGAGTAGCAGTCCGGAAATAGAAGCTATTACACCGTTTGTTGAGGTTTCCGAAGTGATTCCACGCAACAGCATTGAAAGAGATCCCCTGGGAGGCTCAGTGCAACGAAATGACGTCTGCCGAACATCCGATACAACGATAAGAACGGCTCCGAACGACACCTTGCAGAAGCAAATGCCAATCGTCTCAGCGTCGCTTTGACGAAAGAAAGGTTAAATTCGATACGCGGCCCATTGAATGACATTCACAAGAGTTCATTTGGAGTTCCAAAAGGGCTACTTGAGATTTACAAGCATTCGACTGAATAGGCGCATTGAGAAAAGTGCTGAAACCATGAAATATTGAAAGTGTACGAGCTACAACTAACAAAATCTTAATTTTCTGACGAGTGACTTTAGTTAGGAAAATATAAATAGACTCTAAGAAACTCCATTCCAAAATGGCAAATATTTCTTGAACTGGTAATAATATTATTACAAATAATCTACGGTATGATAAGAGCATTCGAAATTTTAAAGAAAATATCTGTGATTAGACCAAATAGTAAATAGTATTTGAATTAAACACATGGGTTTAGAATTCTTTCAGAAGCTATAAACGCGGAAAAACGAACGGGTAGGAGGAGGAGCTGAAGCGGTGAAACCAGTAAAGTGAACGGATATAATCCGCGTATATTGCGCAAGCACAGTTGCTGATTAAAAGAAATAAAAACAAAAGAGAAAATCAATGAAGGAACAAACCAACAGAATGAAATGAGCGAAAAGCAAGCCAGACAGCAAAGGGGGAGAAAATTGAATGACGAAAAGCTATAATCACTTACGGCATATTTCTCCCGAAAAGAAGCTAACAAGCGGAATCAATGAAGTAATGGGTATGGTTAGCCGGGACGAGCAGCAATTGGCGTTGAATTGGAAGGGCGCGACGACGGCACTGGTCGTGACTCAGCCCACAAATAGCTTTGCCCCACTCCGAAAACGCGCCTCCGCCGCCCGTTAATGAGATCGCATTCGTCAGCACTAAGAACTCTGTGGGGACGTATTTTATAGTAAAATTTCAGGACCTCAACCCCTGGTAACAGTAGAATCACTTGGTGTCCCTATGGATGCGTGGAGTCAAGATAACAATAAATTTACTGCGTCTCTCTCAAATAATGCGTCTTCAAGCATCCAAATTTCCAAGAGATATCAAAAGAGCTGCCAAAAATGCTTATATTTCCGTGGACGCTCATCCAGTAAGGGGGCATCAAGTGGCTGCCCTCACCCCTACCCCCTAGACTGCCTAAACTCCCCCGGCGCACAGTGAAGGCAGTCTAGGGGGTGGGGGAGGTGTGAGGGCAGCAACTCGACAGCATCACAATGCCCCCTCCCCCCCCCTTACCGGATGAGCGCCTTTTCGTGGACATACTTTTCAGAAAAGTAGTGATTTTAGCGCCACAGGCAAATAGAGATGGACATGGTGCTTTGACGATGTACGGCGACACGGCGGGGCTACCACGTATGTTTCGGAATCAAATTCTGGCTCGAACCCCGCTCACGCCAACCAGGTCAGGACAGCACCGAAAAAGGTCGAATCTATGAGGTATGTGTATGGGCGCGTGCATAGTCGGTCGTCCGATCGTAACGGTCGTAAGGCCGATGTCACAATCACAATCAATACGCATCCAATGCCATTAGGCCGATGTCATAGTTTGCGAATCGAGCGATTCGCTAGCGAGTCGCTCGTATTGATTGTGATTGCCCGGGTGTTCGACGATCGATATGTATCTAACGCTGTGCGATCGTCACGATCGTTACGATCGGACGACCGACTATGTATGCGCCTTAAAGGTGAAAATAGAAAAAAGTCCCAAGAAACTGCTACCTGCAAAGAGCAAACGAATCCATGGGAATTCCTAACTCATCCCACACACATCTTGATAGAAGATGAAAAAAGGCAATTACACAAAAAAAGAAACAACAAAAAAGGTCCAAAAACCCTTCCAGCGACAAAATTTTGAACCAATTCTGAAGAAATGTTAATGCAGCATGCAAAAATATAGTATATAAAAAAGCTACTTGCCTGAGATGGCGAAGCTCGATCATATTATGACGGATAGTTGGTGATTTGGCTGAGCTGGTTTTTGTGAACAGCTATTCCCAAAAGCAACTGTAGAAGGATAACAAATTTTGGTCGGAAATGTATGAGACAGGAAAAAATGCTCAACGGAATCATGTCTGAAGGAACCGAAGGCGTATCAATCACTGAGACAATGGACATCTCGACAGCCGCAATGTGGTGCATGTGTTCCAAACAACAGCTGTGTCGAAGCGAACGGCATTGTGCTGCTTGTCGCGCTCTAGTTG